TTGTGCTTAATACTTTGTTTTATTGGTATTTTGTAAGTAATAGTCAATTTTTGTAAAAGTCAAACAGACATTAGTTGTGAGGTTCCAGGGAGTGTTTATTGAGGAGAAATGAGAATGGAGTCACAACTTATGAACAACACTAAATATGAAAAATAGTCATTCATTAGAAATAATGGCTTGCAATATTTTAAGTAGCAATCTAATGTGAAAAAAAGTGACAGCATTCCTATAAGATATATATGTATGTGAATTAATGATTATATACAGTATGTATGTGATCTAAACATTATCTGATGATAAAACTGTTGTAAGATACGAGGGGTGTTCAAGTAAAACCCGGTACTATTGAGTTTATATAATAAAATAACAAATTTAAAGGAGTGGAAACTGCATTTATTTTTCAACATGCTCCCCAGCTACATTTATAAACTTATCCCAACGTTCAACTAATGCCTGGAAAGCTTCAGCATGGAAAGATTTGTCAGTACGCCTGATCCATCCTAGGAGAGCCTGCTTCACTTCGTCATCAGTTCTGAAAATGCTGATCTCCGAGGAGCCCAGAAAGATTTGTCTCTTGTGCGATTTCATGACAGGTTATGAAATGACTATCCAGGATTACGTATTCCACATGCTGAATGTTCACAGGAATGACTGTTGTGGGCTGGGAACCACCATGACTGGGATCATCACGGACAGACATACCACCTTTGAAACGTTTACACCATTCAAATGTCTTACTGCAGCTGAGCATCTGACCACTATACTGCGCTGGTTTTACACCTTCGGTTACAAGAAACTTCATCACCACACGCTATTCCATGCACACACTAACACTGTTATCAGCCATCTTGACTAACAGTCTCTGGAATGGAACGCGACGTGTGCCGCCCATCAGTAATAGGACACACTTACCACACTTGCCACTGTAGTACCGCCATGCTAGCATCCCTTTTTATAATTGTGAAATGAAAGTCCCGGTTTGCCTTGAATGCCCCTCGTACAATACCAAACAGGTACAAATACACAGCTTAATGCATAGACACTGATTTTTAATTTATCTTATCTAATGGATAGCCTAAAAATGCCACTTAAGCTCATATGTAATAATGTAACGTAGGCCATAGATTATGCCATAAAATCGCTAGATTCCCACATCAACACAGTCAGTGTTGATAGGAGAATCCCTCCCGCAGAGCCATCGTGTTCTCTCGGCAGAGGGTTTGGGAACCTTGCCTGCCAGGAAAACATAATGATCACTGCTGGCGGCTATAGCTGCTGGAAATAATCGCATGCTAAAAATCCGACTGGATTGGTGGATCGATTTGGGAACAATTAGCCTGCCCATAGATGGATCGAATCTCAGCTGATCCCTGCTGAACCCTCTGAGATTTGATCCATCAATGGCTGGCTTAAAGCTGTGTTTAGCTGTCCCCCATTTATTAGTTGTAAATATATATGCTTTTGATGCAGATCTCAACTGTAACAATGGTGCTGTATTACTTTTTGCCATTACAGACACCAGAAATATCTTTCACCTACCTACCTGTTGCTATACTTAGCCATTTTCTGTAAAGGAAATGGTATGTCATGTAAGCAGTCTCTGTATTTAGTACAGTAATATTTCTGTTAACTATGATATGCATGTATGGAGATATGTTAAAAAAAGTTCTGTTCTCCCATTTTGTATATTGCAGAACTTTTCTCTTATAGTGTAGTGCACTGTGTACAAAATATAGCATTTGTAAAGACATTGATACATATAAAAATTCAAAAAGTAAACGGCGAGCGCTATAGATACGGAAGCAGCTGGCACAAAAAGATAGTGAGAATATCTCAATATCAAAGTAAATGAAAAACAGTGTAGTGCATAAGAAAACTAACAAAGCGAATCAAATCAGTGAGTAAAATGAAATAAATGTGTCACGGTGTAACAAACAAAATAATAGACAATAAAGTCCTTCCAATATAAATATATAAAGCTGTCATGTCAATCACGACCTGTAGTGTTCAATCCCACAAAGTGCTCTCTATCCAGTGCAAGGTCCTCCACCACTATGCACTCACCAGAGAACTACTTGGTCAGTAGCATGTATATAATGAGGTCTATGTCATCCACTTTCCAGCAACTTTACCAGTCTGGTTAGGCCCTGTATGTCTTGCAGTCCATAAGAAATATGATCCGTAAAGACACTCCAGGGGTTCTTTCGGTCAGGTTGGTGCCAGTCCCTCAGCGCTGGTCCCCTCACATTAGCCTCTTGAGGGACGGGCACCAACCTGACAGAAAGAGCCCCCCTGGAGCGTCTTAACAGATCATATTTCTTATGGACTGCAAGACATACAGGGCCTAACCAGACTGGTAAAGTTGCTGGAGAGTGGATGACATAGATCTCATGATATGCATGCTACTGACCAAGTAGCTCTCTGGTGAGTGCATAGTGGTGGAGGACCTTGCAGTGGATAGAGAGCACTTTGTGGGATTGAACACTACTGGTCGTGATTAACATCACAGCTTTTATATATTTATATTGGAAGGACTTTATTGTCTATTATTTTGTTTCTTACACCGTGACACATTTATTTCTTTTTACTCACTGATTTGATTCACTTTGTTAGTTTTCTTATGCGCCTCACTGTTTTTCATTTACACTGATACATATGAGAATGCCTGAAATACAATTGTAAGGCTGATATGACACTCTTGAATATGGCAGAATCACTGAAGTACATCAGCCACTTCCCTTAATGGAAATCGCTCACTAATGGCCCTAGAGAATATTGCTTGCTAGCAAAAGAGCAATTTAAAAGCAACCTCCTGCTAGTGCATTCAGCTAGGGAGCAAAGCCATAGGAATTTTGACAGTGGACTTAGCGATCCACTTCTTGGGAAGATCTCACCACCAACAGTATTGCTGCTGGGACATGCCCTGAAAAAAAATACTTTTCCCACCTGTGAAGTTGATATGATGTAAATACGAGATAATAGGGGTTGTTGTCATTATCTGTATGTACCAAATAGCTAATGCATACTGCACTTCATATATGCCAGGATTTCCTAAACAAGTAATACAATTCAAGATACATCTGGTCTACACAAACACAGACAACCATTTCCTAACCATGCCCAACTTTTGAGGGAAGCCATTTAATGTGGAAGAGTGGAACATTTGTTGAACTTAGGGAATATTGGCATGTTACAGGATGTGTAATAAACATCAATTAACATATGTATAGCAGATTCTACAGTAAAAGAGAATTCTTTAGATTAGAACATTCTTGTGTGTGGAAGGACTCTTTAACACAGCCCATTACATTTCAAAACAGTCTTAAAGTGTTACTAAACCCAGGGCCCTGCATTCACTATCTCTGGTCTCCCACAGTACACACAACATGGAAATGCAATTATTTTAGTAAATATAAACTGCTAAATGCCTTTTCACATCAGCAGTATATAACAGTCTTAAGACTTTTATCAGTGTCTGTCCAATCACTGATTTAAAGCTTTTAGGAGGAGTTTTCATTCTGCCCTGACTGTCCTTTGAGGCTACATAACCCCTGACCCTCTTTCTGGACAGTTCTGGCCCTGTGCTGATCACATATACCCTCCCAAAGAAAAAAAAAATCTCTCTACACACTGAGCATTTGCAGAGTGACTCCTAGAGTTCTGTACTGTCAGCAGATGGATTGGGGACAGTATAAGGAAGGGGGGGGGGATCAGAGAAGACAGGATCGAACAGCATTTTTTACACAATGTGAAGGAATAACCACTTAGGTTACACTGTGAGTATAACAAGCATGCTTTACTGCATATACAGACTGATTTTACTGTTGTGGGTTTAGTAACACTTTAAAAAGCACATTAACGCACTTATAGCACTAATGAGCATTTTGGATGTGTTGTACAGGCATTCATGTTGCATCAGGCAACACTTCTCAAATATCCTGTGTGTGTGTTTTTTTGTTTTTATTTTTCTACAAGGCTAAAATGGGAAATTATCACTTTTGACGCTTCGCATCTGCACCGTAAATGCATAGGCATGTTTACAGGGCAGTTGTGGTGTTTCTGCAGAAGTGAAAGCGCTCAGTTGCACAGTGTCAACACCTGCTAAGCTCTGCAGCATTATTTTTGCCTTGCTGAAACACGAAGCTGTAGTGTGAAAACCTCCATCTGCTCCCTATTGTAACAATTATGAGTGGCATTGAAAGGTGTTTGGGAAGCATTAAAAATGAAACCCCCCGCCCATTTTTTTTAGTATTTTGGCTTTACTTCTCAAATCTTACTAGCTGATTTTCTGGAATGAAGTACATTTTTTGTATTTACTGGGACGTTGTTGGCTTTTTCTATGTATAAGGTAAATACAAAATTGTGTATTTATATGTGCAAAAAAAGAAAAGAGACATAGCCTGTTTTTTGCATTTTTCCACATCTAATTACAGTATCACAGGTAAAAATAACTAATTTATATAACCAAACTACTAGGATATGTGGAAAACATGTACTGTTCATGGAACAGCGGGTCAATAATGTAGGCTTGAGCAGCCCTTTTATCTTCCACTGAGCTAGCAGGCCACAGCGAGCTGCACATGTGCAGCATAACCCTCAAACGGCCCTTTTTTGGAAAGTAGACAGTCCAAGGTAGCCTAACTAGTAAGGAAGTTCCACATTGTGAGGAAAAGACCAGAGATACACAGTATATCACAGCCTTCTGCCTCTGATGAGGATGGAAGAGCTACTTACATAAGCCATTGGTCTTGAGCAAGATTGCCTACTGTTCTGAGGTCTGTAGTGGGTGGTATAGGTTGAGAAAGATGTGGGAGGACAGTTGGACTAAAATGTAATATAAATAAGAAGAAACAAAGCCTGAAATATGTATTGCCTACTTCTTGTTCCAGCTATTTCATAACTGGCAATGCTGTAATCTACAACCTCTTTGGTTTTAGCTTTTTTCTACTTGTGATGGCAAGCATCCTTTATCTCTAAGCCAAATACAGTCATGTTTTGGCCTACATTGTTGACTCATTTATGGGTTTTTCCTGGCTTGAGTTTCCTGAACTGCTAAACCCAGGTATGAGTTTTCGAAAAGGCTTACAGAGAACTACATAGATGAAAGGGTCCATGAATACGTTGGTGGCAGCGATCCACAGGGTACTTTCTTTAGTTAGGAATAATGTTCTTTTGATGGCACAATCTGTTATGATTCCACTCTGGCTAAATGTATAGGGTACCCTCACAAAATGGTAGGGCGCAAAGCACAGGAAAAATACAATTACTACAACAAAAACTTTGGCTTTGGTGTTCTTTCTCATAGCTTTGTCTTTACTGTGAGATTTTGCATACGATTCATAAACCTTTCTGCTTATTATTGTATAAAAAGCTGTCATGGAAATGAAAACAGACCAAAAAATCAACTGGCTGATGTAAGTAACAGCTTTGTGCCATGCCATTCCCAGTGAAGACTTGAGGTCAGCACAGTGGTTAACATTTTTAGGTGTTGCTTCTATGGTGTTCAGAATCATGTTAGGCATTGACATTCCAAATATGATGATCCACACTGAGAAAGATATCCATTTAGCCACACTAAGTCGATCCATACAGCTTCTTTCAAATGGTCGTACAATCTTAAGAAAGCGATCTATTCCTATGAGTCCAAGAAGTATTATATTGACGTACATGGCTGAGTAAAATACTACTGCAGAACAACGGCAGACAAAGATTTTCACCTGCCAAGGTGCAATTTCTGAATCTGTGACTATTTTAAAAGGCAGTGCCAGTGTCATTATTATGTCAGCTGCCACAGTATTTTTAAGGTAAACAATAAAAACAGTATTAGTAGGGACTTTGCAGAAAATACAAACAGAAAGACTGTTCATGATAACTCCAAGACAGAATATAACTGTGTATAGAATGGGAAAGACCACTTGTGCCATTCTGATGTCCCTTGTACAGTTTTTAGGCGATGATAAGTTGAAAACATCAGAGTCCATGGCTGTAAGAGAATACATTATCATACATTAAAATCACACAATATACATCAATTTTCATTGCATTAACTCAACAGAAAAGTACATTAAATTGGTTGTAAACTTCATACACGAAAAATGAACAAAGCATACAGAACACGCTCTATAGTGTGTGCTTGTCTCAATTAAGAGCACTAAGGGTCATTTCTTTCTGCTGCCTTGTTCCTCTGCTATCAGCAAAATACAATATTTTTGACTTTTTGCTATTAAACATGTCCAGTAAAAAAAATTAAAAAATCTAATTTTGTCATAAATTTGCACCAAAATGAATTCTGCTACATGTCTTTGCTAAAACAAAATCCCATTACGTTAACATTAATTGGTTTTTGTGAAAGCTATAGCTTTTACAAATGGCGGTATATATACTGGAATTTTTTTTTTACTACTTATGGCGGTGATCAACGACTTATAGCGGGACCGTGGTGGCATTCTGACACTGGGGGGAACTGATTTGGTGTCACTGACATCCCCAGTGACACCAATACAGTGGTCAGTGCTAAAAAAAAGCACTGACACTGTACTAATGGCACTGGGCAGGAAGGGGTTAACATAGGGGCGATCAAAGGGTTAACTGTGTGATGGGAGTATTTTACTGGGGTGGGGGGTTGGTGCTTCACTGTAAGCACACTGCACTGGAGGACTGTGCTGTGCACTGCCATCCAGAGCGGTGTGCCCAAGCCGACAGGAAGGAGGACTGCTAGTTAACAAAGCAGACCTCCTCCCCGTCGCAGATACTCAGTAATCACGGGGTGCCGATGGGTGATCACAGGCCAGGACCCAGTGACTGACAGATGCGTCCACACATGGCGGCGTGGGCAGGGCGCGCGGCTCATGCACGCCCCCTACCCAGAAATGCAAAATCACGTATAATATACGTATATATATATATATATATATATATATATATATATATACACGTGACTTTGTGCACCCCTGCCGCCCTTTAGCAGTATTTCTGCTATAGAGCGGCGGGGAAAAGGTTAACATGCTGGTGTCAACTTCACTTAAAGTATTACTAAACCCACAACCAAAAAATCAGTCTGTATATGGAGTAAACCATGCTTGTTATACTCACTGTGAAACCTAAGGGGTTAATCCTCTGCATTGTGGAAAAATGCTGTTTGATCCTGACTTCTCTGATCCTGCCCTTCTTCCAGTGTCCCTGTCTTATCTGCTTGATTCTGCACATGCTCAGTTTGGTGTGTATTGCTAGAGAAGTGTTTTTTTTTCTCAGGAGAGTGCACACAATCAGCATTATCTAGACAGAGGTCAGGGGTTCTGCATCCTCCTAGTGCAGAATGAAAACTCCTCCTCCAAGCTTTAACCAGTGTTCTGCTGAACATTGATAGAAGTCACAAGACTGCTCTAACTGCAAATGAGAAACGGTATTTAGCAGTTTATGTTTACTAAAATAATTGTACTTCCATGTCGTGTGTACTGTGGGAAACCAGATATAGTGAATGCAGGGTCCTGGGTTTAGTAACACTTTAAGTGGTGGGGGAAATATTGCCTAGTTTGGGTTTTTAATACCAGCAGATTTGTTTTAGCGGTTTATTTCAGTGAGTTTTGATATACGCAATAAATTACATAATGTGTTCTCACTTCTACTTTGGATGTCTAACATGCAGTAATTCAAAATTCTTTTATCTTATATTGTTGTGTATTTCATACCAAAAACACATTTATGACTCAGATGTTATTTTGTTTTAGATTATGTGATTTTGATTGTTTTACTTCAATGTTTGCCAAATGGTTGTTGGAAAAATAGCCTTCTGATCTACAAGTTGTAGTAGTCTTGATGCTGCATCACTTGAAGATACAGTGGAATCAATTTGGCCAGGGTGTTTTAGAGTAGAACGTTAGACAAAACCTTTTGTTTTTATGCTTCAAATACAGAGAAAGAGGTAGTACTTCTACGTGCTTTTTATTGTAAGCCCAGTGATGAGATTTCCCAAACCTTCTGGTGTTTCTGATATTTCACAGAGCAGGAATGATGGCAGTTCACTTTAGCTGGGATAAAGATAGACAAAAACTTTCCATGGTAGTAGAATTGACAAGGGTTAGAGCCTATGTTAGGTGGTTTTTGCTATCCTTGTCTTCTAATTCCAGTGACACCCTATTTCTTGTCTGGGTGTCACTAGGAGGGAAGTGAGGAATAATTACCCAAAGTGATAAATATATGGCAATCATTTCTAACTCTCCTCCATGTTATCTAAAACTGAAAAAAATCCAGTGGGCTGATGTTCCACTTGAAAGAACATGAAAAGTAAACTTGTTATAATGACATTTGCCACTTTGAAATCTTGTGTCAATCACTTTCCCTGCTAGTCCACCTTGTCTGTGAAGTTGAGAAAACCCATGACTAGTGTAGAATAGATGTACTAGCTAAAACCATAGCTACTGATACTCCCACACAACTATCTCCATCCCCCCCCAACTCTATTTATACCAATGAAGGAGCCCAAACCACAGTTGGAGTAAAATGGCCATCACTGCCTTTAATTTTTAATTCAACTTAAATAACACAAAACATTCCTTAACAGCTTCCTGCCCCACGCTGCTCGCCCGCAATGTACTGCGGCAGGGCGGCAGCTACAGGCACAGGTGCCCCCTCATGTGCCCTCCATCGGACACAGCGGAATGAAGATCCCGGTGACTGGGACCCAGTGATCATGTGATTGCTATGCGATCACATAATCACAATGTAAGCAAAGCTGTTTTGAATCAATCTCATTCATAACAGCTCTGCTTCTCTTCCTAGTAAGCTGTTATTGGCCCACAGCTATCACATGATACATGGGGCCAATCACAGAACCCTGTACCATGTGACCAGCTCCAGCCAATCACAGATCACTGTCCTGAGCTGTCAAAACTTAACTCATTCATGACAGTTTCATGAATGAGTTTGGTTCATAACAGCAAGCTTTGCATTGCAGGAGAATTTCTGTTCTCTGCTGTTAGATACAGTTGCAAGAAAAAGTATGTGAACCCCTTGGGATTACGTGGAGTTTTGCATGAATTGGGCATAAAATGTGCTCTGAACGTCATCTAAGTCACAACAATAGAAGAACACAGTCTGCTGAACATAATACTACACAAACATTAGATGTTGCCATGGTTTAATTGCACATAACATGTAAACATTCACAGTGCATGGAGGAAAAAGTATGTGAGGCCCTAGCTTAATGACTTCTCCCAAAGCTAATTGGAGCCAGTAGTGAGCCAACCTTGACTCCAATCAGTGTGATGACATTGGATGTGTTGCTGACAGCTGTCCTGCCCTTAAAAAAAACACACACCTGTTTTGGGTTTACTGGTTTCAAGAAGCACTGTCTGATGTGAACCATGCCTCGCAGAAAAGAGCTCTCAGAAGACCTAAGATCTAGAATTGTTGACTTGCATGAAGCTAGAAAGAGTTACAAAAGTATCTCCTTGAGCCTTGATGTTCATGTGTCCACGGTAAGAGAGACTGTCTACAAATGGAGAAAGTTTAGCACTGTTGCTACTCTCCCTAGGCGTGGTCATCCTGTAAAAATGACTGCAAGAGCACAGCGCAGAATGCTGCATGAGGTAAAGAAGTATCCCAGAGTGTCAGCTAAAGACCTACAGAAATCTCTGGCACATGCTAACATTTTTGTTGACACATCTACAATAAGGAAAACATTAAACAAGAATGGAGTACATGGGAGGACACCACGGAGGAAGCCATTGCTGTCCAAAAAGAAGATTGCAGCACGTTTGAAGTTTGCAAAAGAGCACCTGGATGTTCCACAGCACTACTGGCAGAATATACTGTGGACAGATGAAACCAAGATTGAGTTGTTTGGGAGAGAACACACAACACTATGTGTGGAGAAAAAAAGGCACAGAACACCAACATCAAAACCTCATCCCCACTGTGAAAGCATCATAGTTTGGGGCTGCTTTGCTGCCTCAGGGCCTGGATGGATTGTTGTCATTGATGGGAAAATGAATTCCAGAGTTTATCAAGACATTTTGCAGGAAAACGTACGACCATCTGTCCACCAACTGAAGCTCCGCAGAGGATGGGTGATGCAACAGGACAATGACCCAAAGCATACAAGTAATTCAACAAAACAATGGCTGCAACAGCACAGAATACGCCTTCTGGAGTGGCCCAGTCAGAGTCCTGACCTCAACCCGATTGAAATGCTGTGGCATGACCTTAAGAGAGCGCTTCACACCAGACATCCCAAGAATATTGCTACACTGAAAGAGTTTTGTGAAGAGGAGTGGTCCAAAATGACTCCAGATCATTGTGCAGGTCTGATCTGCAAACTACAGGAAACGTTTGGTTGAGGTTATTGCTGCCGAAGGAGGGGTAACCAGTTATTAAGTCCAAAGGTTCACATACTTTTTCCTCCCTGCACTGTGAATGTTTATATGTTATGTGCAATTAAACCATGGCAACATCTAATGTTTGTGTAGTATTATGTTCAGCAGACTGTGTTCTTCTATTGTTGTGACTTAGATGACGTTCAGAGCACATTTTATGCCCAATTCATGTAAAACTCCACGTAATCCCAAGGGGCTCACATACTTTTTCTTGCAACTGTATATACCCAACATGAACCAGCAATGTACTGGTACGTCGCTGGGCTTTGAGTGGTAATACTGGGATGAGGCCTGCAGCTACAGGCATCATCCTGGTATGGTTTTTTTCAGCTGGCGGTTGGCTTTCATATAAAAACAATCCTAGAGGCCAATTAGCTGCTGAACTGTTTTATGAGCAGCGGGAATGGATATCCCCCCCCTTTCCTTCTGCCTTCCACAGTTTTCTTGGGCTCTCTTGTCTCACAGGGGAATCTGAGAATGCAGCTGGCAGTTCTGCTGGCTGCCCATAGAGCTGGTCAGAGACCAGAATGGCTCCAATCATCTCTATAGTCTAAGAAATCAGAAGCTACGAGCATTTCATCACTTCAGTTTCGCAGGATATAAACAGCACCATTTGTAAATTGGGAAAGCATCTGACAACACAGATCTTGGTTGAGATTAGATCATGTAAGGGCAGAGGAGATATCTAGAGTCTGACAGACCCCAGATTTCTCAAAAAATAATCTATGACAATGCCCATTGAAATTATAAGGGATATTTGCATTCCCTGTGATAGCATTGAAAGTGATAAAAAAAATGAAAGGGACAGTGTAAAAAATAATAAAAAAAAAATCAAAATAACTAAAAACAAAAAAGGTCCAAATACCAACAAACCGCCCCTGAGCCTTAACAGGCCAGGAACCAGAAGACCTAAACAACCCCAAGAGAGGGTGGGAGGGAAGTTTCTTCTTCCGCTGCCACTCCTATACTGAATAATTTGACCCTACACCACTCCCAAAGGTGCTCAAGACCCCACACCACACAATCACCAATCAGGTAAGCCTGAATATTTTAAAACCTTGCAGCCTGTCCTTAACACTCTCCTGTCTGTCCTACCCTATTCACATAGTCATGTCTGCCCTCCGCTATTTTTTTTTTTTTCTATGGGCATCACTGTCTGGTTTGTATGTAAAAAGAGAAAAAAGTACACTTTGTACAGTCAGGATGTTAAAATGGATCTGTATTTAAATGAAAAAAGGTTTACTGGACAAATAAAATGTGACAGAAGGGCTGAAATACATACTGCATTTTATTTGAGAAATGCTCAGACTG